TGTATATGAGGTTATTGAAAATACCATGGCTTGGGTCAGGTGCACCTTAGTCCTCAAGCTGACATCTTTGCTCTTCAACACTTTAAAAAGGTCTTGTACAGCAGATTTACCCAGTGCAATACGTCATTTGATTTCTTGACTGCTGCTTCCATGAGTTGATCAATAGTTGATCCAAGAAGAATGAAGTCCTGGACAACTTCAATCTTTTCTGTTTATCATGATGTTATTTATTGGTGCAGTGGTGAGGATTTTTGTTTTCTTAACATTGAGGTGCAATCCATACCAAAGGCTGTGCTCTTTGATCTTCATCAATACATATTTTTAGTCTTCTTCACTTTTATACAATAAATTAAGGAGCCCTTACATATTAAATAGGTTCTTGGGTGATGCAGTTTGCATTTGGTTCCTACCTGGAAGATTGGTTCAAACCCACCCAGCAGTGTCATGGAAGAAAGATCTGGAAATCTGTTTTTGTAAAGATTACAGCCAAGAAAATCCTATGGAGCTCAGTTGTACTATGTAACACATGGGCTTGGCATTGACTTGGTGACAATGGGGGTTTTTGTTTTTTTCTAAAATGTTTTATTGTGAATTATGTGATAGTTTACATGGGAGAACATTAGTTTTACATTCATCCTATCTTATTTCATTGTTATGGTTACAATCCCCTCCATGCATCATCAACCAACCAAAGGGTGTATACTACATGCCTGCCCCCCACACCCCACACCCCCCGGTCTTCAGCACACAGCCCCTCTCCCCCTCTGTCTAAAGTCCCCAACTGTCATCATCTCTGCCTCCATCTCAGGTGTCACTGCTTCTCTGGGTAGGGTCCCACTCTCTGCTCTTCTCCCTTGATAGTCCCAGGGACCTCCGTTCCTAGGCAGAAAAGTTAATCGCTCCCCTTCTTACTACAAAAGACAATGGGGGTTTGCTTGTTACTTGTTAGGCTAATTTTTATAGATTTGGCTTTAGATTCTTAATGAGGACCATGCTCTTTGGGGACATTAGTTTACATTGAAATAACCTTGTCAGCAGGCTTATTGTGTATGTCCCCCAACTAGATCATGAGTGGAGAAAACTGGTCCATCTTCGTCACAGCTTAGGATGCATTGTAATTACTCAGCAAACATAAATCAATAACAGGGGGGAGGAAAGTGCCAGGTCATAGAAGCCAGAGGGAGAGAGTGGGTTTCATTGGACCAGGAATGAAAAGAACTCAAGTTTGTGGGTTTGGAAGGATCTGGCATTTTCTGAACATCCTTGAAGAACTTCTGATGAAATAATTTCAGGTGTGGCAAGAAATGAAGTTCATTAGGTCAAAGAATGAGAAGCAGGTTGGTATCCCAAGGTGGCATGAATGGTGTTGCACCCCATTGGATGAGCAGCAGGTGTGGCTCCTATAGGTACAGGTCAGATTCTAGAAAGAAGCAGAGAAAACCAAGTTGTTGGTCAGTTCTAGCATTAGTAGGGAATTTACAGACAGAGACCTGGTGTGGTGCTAAAGGCTAATGCACTGGACTGCAAGGTCAGAGGTTCCTCGGAAACCCTATATGGGGTAGCTATAAGTTCACAACAGCAATACACTGAGTCACCTGAGTACAGGTCCATATAGGGCAGTATGGGGTGTGGGTTTTCATAATATACAGGGTCCCTATGAGTTGGAACCGACTTTACAGCACACCACCATCACCACCAAGGTATAGACACTATGGGTTTGAACTGACTCAACAGCACTTAACCACAACAAGGTGTACAAACAACAGTGTGCCTATGTGCTAGGATACATGCAGAGGAAGTAGGGAAAAAATACTTAATTTGTGATGGATGGGGTTGCTGCTCTAGTTAATGGGATTCAACTGACATTATGAAGGTATGTTTTTTCTTGACTCAGATCACTTGCTCAAAAAGAAATTCTGGTTCTCTCCCAGGGCCCTATTTGGTCAAAAATGCATTTTTTTCATGGCCCTCACAAATGGTTAATGCACTTAGCTGCTAACTGAAAGGTTGGAGGTTGAAGTCTTCCCAGAAGCATCTCAAAAGAAAGACCTGGCTGGTCTACTTCTGAAAAAATCAGTCATTGAAAACCCTAGGACCATCACAGTTCTACTGTGACACCCATAGGTTTGTCATAAATCAACTCAATGGCAACTGATGCTGGAGGTGAGGTTGGAGAAGAAATGTAGAGAATGAGCTGCACTTTCTGTTAACAGACTCTGGATTTAATCTAAGGCCAATTCCCTCCTACTTACCACAGCTTTGTTCTAAGGATGCTTCCACTCCATATCTAGGGATGGTGAAAGCTCTGAAACTTTACTATGACTCAATCTCCATATTGTAACTCACCCATAGTCTCTGCTCCTCAAAGAACTAGTCCGATAATCTGAAACCTTTGTCACAGTATCTTTGACTCGCTCTTCACATCCTCTTGTAAACTGCTTTTCCTTTATGTTTTAGTTGAGTTTTCATTCCTATGCATATAAATTAGTTATGACCGACAAACTGATATAAAATAGCATTTTAATGCATGATTTTTAATAATGAAGACCAGGTATGTGATATTTGGAGACATAGGAAATGGTAAATGATTTGCTGACTTGAGCTTCAGGACACCCATAGATAAGACACTTGATATTTGGTTGTTGTTTTTTTTTTAACAATGTATTATTGGGGTCCACCATTAGACTGTTTATCACACTGTGGTAGCTTGCATGTTGTTGTGCAGCTAGAATTTTGAATGTCGGCAGGGGCCCCCATGGTGGACAGGTTTCAGCTAAGCTTCCAGTCTAAGACTTAGAAGAAGGAGAAAAACACTGCTTCTGATGTTGATACTGAACATCTTACAAATAGCAGCAAAACACTGTCAGCACCAGAACACTAAATATTGATTGAAACATGATGAAGAACACCAGAATATTGTCAGATACAGTGCTGGAAGATGAGGCCCCAGGTTGGAAAGCACAAAGCACTCAGAGTACAGTTAACCTTGAATAGCATAAACGGAGTAAAGCCCTCAGGACCTTCATTCGCTGATGGGGCACAACTCCAAATGAGAAACAGCTGCAGACATCCATTAATAACGTGAACATGGAATGTACAAAGCATGAATCTAGGAAAACAAATAGTTGTGAAAAAGTGAATTCGAACAGAGTTCGTTTGATTTCAATTGTATGGACAGTTTACAAAACCCTTCTCTGGGAATAACAGAACGCTGTTTTTCCCCCAAAGAATAGTGTCATTTCGGCAAGGGGCGATATCAATTACTGATCTCGGAGGTGGTTTTATGGACAGTCTAGCTGCCTCATAGGGTTTCTTTCCAAAGTTGTAAATTTGTATTGAAGGGAGTTACCACATCTTTCTCCCAAGGAGTACCTAAAGGGTCTCTTAAGTTCGCATCCAAAGCTTTAGCCACTGCACCATCATAGTGCCTTGCTGTTCTCTATAAAATGAAATAAAGACTACAAAGAAAGCGCCCCAAATTCAAAAGGAAGGCTCTGAACCCCGCCGGAACTAGGTGGAGCCTCCCGGGGGCGGGCGCACGGAACTTGGCCCCTGTGACACCTTGTGTCTCCCAAACCGGAAGGGGAAGTGCTTGCCTATTCGTGGCTCGTCTGCGCTGGCTGGGGCGGTACCTGGTGTAGCCCGCGGAGCCGGAGGGCACCTGAAGATTGAAGGGCGCTGCTCCGCATTCCCTGGCTGCTCCAGAGCCTCGCCATTGGTTTCCTGTAGTCGGGCTGTGCTCCCAGCCTTCCGGGCGCCGCCGAGAGCCTGGCCCGCTGAGCCACAGCTGGTTTCTGCGGAGCTGGGCTCCGAACGGCTGGACCTGTGTCTCTCTGTGTAATAGCAGGTAACATGATGTCAATCCGCGTCAAACGAAAGTGGCATTTCCAGACCAGCAGCATCAGTTTCACCTAGGAGTTTATGGAAAACACAGAATCGGGTCTCATGGAAGCCTGGGATGGTTAAAAAAAACAAAAATCGAGCTAAGACGGCTGTCACAGTGGATTCTGACTCATAGCGATCTTATAGGACATTGAAGAACTGCTCCATAGGGTTTCGGAGGCTTTATGGGAGCTGACTGCCGCATCTTTCTTGTGGGGTGCTGAGCTGTTGCGTAGCAACCTGACGCCTAACCCACTGCACCACCAGGACCTGAGTGTCACTGCCCTGCCCCTGCCCCTCCCTCTCCAGCTCACCGCTCACTGCGCCTCTGCCTCTTGGTTTTATGTACTGAGGCAGGACTTTGTTAAGTTTTACTGGTCAGAATATGCACCCCCTACTCTGGTAGCGTAGTGGTTACGAATCGGGCTGCGAACCTTAAGGTCAGTGGTTCGAAACTACCAGCCGCTC